AGCACTGTAGCTTGCTGGTCGTTGAGTGAAGCTGGGTGCTGGTGTTGAGATGGAGATCTCTGGGAGATTTTCGCCATTTGATATTATGTGGAGCTGGGAGGTCTCTTGTGGACCAGTGTCCTGAAGTTGGCTCTCCCACCTCAGAGGCACTGCCTTTCATCCACACGGCTCAGAATAAAAGGGAGAAAAAGTAGAAAGAATTAGTAGAAGTAGAAAGAAAGAAAGAAAGAAAGGAGGGAGGGAGGGAGGGAGGGAGGAAGGAAGGAAGGAGTGAAGGAAGGAAAAAAAGAAAGAAGATAAAATAAAATAAAGTAAGATAAAATATAATAAAGTTATTAAAATAAAAAATAATTATTAAGAGGAAAAAAAATTTTAAAAATATCAACAACTAAAAAAAACGGACTTATAGAACCCTAGGACAAATGGTGGAAGCAAAGCTATACAGACAAAATCTCACACAGAAGCATACACATACACACTCACAAAAAGAGGAAAAGGGGAAAAAAATCATAAATCTTGCTCTCAAAGTCCACCTCCTCAATTTGGGATGATTTGTTGTTTAAAAGAGGGGAGGAAGAAAAGAAAGAAAGAAAGAAAGAAAGAAAGTAAAATAAAATAAAGTTATTAAAATAAAAAGTAATTATTAAGAAAAAAATTTAAAGAAAAACAGACGGATAGTACCCTAGGACAAATGGTGGAAGCAAAGCTATACAGACAAAATCTCACACAGAAGCATACACATACACACAAAAAGAGGGAAAGGGGAAAAAGTCATAAATCTTGCTCTCAAAGTCCACCTCCTTAATTTGGGATGATTCGTTGTCTATTCATGTATTCCTCAGATGCAGGGTACATCAAGTTGATGGTGGAGATTTAATCTCCTGCTTCTGAGACTGCTGGGAGAGATTTCCCTTTCTCTTCTTTGTTCTCACAGCTCCCAGGGCTCAGCTTTGGATTTGGCCCCACCTCTGCGTGTAGGTCGCCGGAGGGCGTCTGTTCTTTGCTCAGACAGGACGGAGCTAAAGGAGTCGCTGATTCGGGGGCTCTGGCTCACTCAGGCCGGGGGGAGGGAGGGGCACGGAGTGTGGGGCGAGCCTGTGACGGCAGAGGCCGTTGTGATGTTGCACCAGCCTGAGGTGCACTGTGTGTTCTCCCGGGGGAGTTGTCCCCGGATCCTGGGACCCTGGCAGTGGCGGGCTGCACAGGCTCCCTGGAAGGGGGGTGTGGATAGTGACCTGTGCTCGCACACAGACTTCTTGGTGGCGGCAGCAGCAGCCTTAGTGTCTCCTGCCCGTCTCTGGGGTCTGCACTTTTAGCCACGGCTCGCGCCCATCTCTGGAGCACCTTTAAGCAGCGCTCTTAACCCCCTCTCCTCGCACACCAGGGAACAAAGAGGGAAGAAAAAGTCTCTTGCCTCTTCGGCATGTACAGACTTTTCCCTGGACTCCCTCCCGGTTAGCCGTGGCGCACTAACCCCCTGCAGGCTGTGTTCACGCCGCCAACCCCAGCCCTCTCCCAGCGCTCTGACCAAAGCTAGAGCCTCAGCTCCCAGCCTCCGCCCACCCCGGAGGGTGAGCAGACAAGCCTCTCGGGCTGGTGAGTGCCGGTCGGCACCGATCCTCTGTGCGGGGATCTCCCCGCTTTGCCCTCCGCACCCCTGTTGCTGTGCCCTCCTCCGCGGCTCCGAAGCTCCCCGCTCCGCCTCCCGCAATCTCTGCCCACGAAGGGGCTTCCTAGTGTGTAGAGACCTTTCATCCTTCACAGCTCCCTCCCAGTGGTGCAGGTCCCGTCCCTATTCTTTTGTCTCTGTTTATCCTTTTTTCTTTTGCCCTACCCAGGTACGTGGGGGGCTTCTTGCCTTTTGGGAGGTCTGAGGTCTTCTGCCAGCATTCAGTAGGTGTTCTGTAGGAGTTGTTCCACGTGTAGATGTATTTCTGGTGTATCTGTGGGGAGGAAGGTGGTCTCCGCGTCTTACTCTTCTGCCATCTTGAAACAGGAACCTGTTGGATGTACTTTTGGTGTCATATCTAAGAAACTATTGTGTAATCCAAGGTCATGAGGATTTACACCTGAGTTTTCTTCTAAGAGTTTTATAGTTTTAGTGTTTACATTTAGAGCTTTGATCTATTTTGGGTTAATTTTTGCATATGGTGTGAGATAGGGGTCCAGGTTCATTCTTTTGCATGTGGATATCCAGTTGTCACAGCACCACTTGTTGCAAAGACTGCTTTTCCCCATTGAATTTTCTTAGCACCCTAGTTGAAAATGAATTGACTATAAATTTATCACTAGACTCTCAGTTTCATTCCGTTGATCTGTATGTCTCTCATTATGCCAGTACCACAGTCTTGATTACTGTAGCTTTGTAGTAAGTTCTGAAATTAGGAAGTGTGAGTTTTCAACTATTTTCAAGATTATTTTGTCTATTCTGGTCCTCTTGCATTTCCATGTGAATTTTAGGATCAGCTTGTCAATTTCTGCAGAGAAGCCAGTTGGAGTTTTCATGGGGATTTTGTTGAGCCTGTGGATCAATTTGAGGTGTATTGCGATCTTAACAATATTGTCTTCCAGTTCATGAATATGGAGTACCCTTCGATTTATTTAGGTCCTCTTAATTTCATTCAACAGTGTGTTGTAGTTTTGAGTATAAGTTTTACATGCCTTTTTAAAAATTTATTTCTAAGCATTTTATTTTCTTGATGCTATTATAAATGAAATTGGTTTCTTAATTTTATTTTTGGATTGTACATTGCAAATACATAGAAATACAATTGATTTTGTATGTTAATCTTGTATTCGTTTTAGGCTTTTTTTTCTTTTTTAAACAGTCCTCAATCATCCTGCTATACTTGCTTATTAATAAGACCACTCAGGGATAGTGGAGCACCACTTGTGTGTTGCCTTTTTTCTTTGAATATTTCACCATCTCTTAGCTGATATGTAGAACTTAGGTAATTTTGGTTTTCATGTGATCTGTTAGTGTGTACACGGAGCAGGAACCAAGTGTACCGCTGATGCCTGTGTTCATCATGGATAGGTGCAGTATATTATAAGGTTCAGGGAGTGTACAAGTTGATGATGAGACCTTCAGTGCCAAACTGGGAATGAAGATTACTTTTTCACCTGATAATAGAGCAAGGCACTCTTGGTCATTATGACGATAGAGGAAGTGATGGGGACAGAGTGTGCTTGCTCAAAGTGGGAGATGGTTAGAAAATGTTGGAATCAAAAAAGGGTTTGTGAGTTGTGTAAATGTTGGCCAGAACGTAAATTTGGGTAAGTTATACTGGAGATTATTCTTTGCCTTTCTCAAAAAAACGTAGGTAGGTGTCACAACACTGATAAAAATCTTTTAAGATTTGTGAACAGAATAGTCTGTCTTTGATATCCCAGGATCCCAAGGGATCAGAGATACTAAAGGGGAGTATCATGACACCAGTAACATTTTGGTTTATCTGCTTTGTTCAAGAAACTAACATTTATTTAAAACTGTGTTTTATTAATACTACTACTTTTTTCCTTTAGCCTTTAATAAAATTTGCAAGTTTGTTACCATTGGAAATGGTTTTGGTATAATAGTACATCACACTTTCAAGTGACACTAATTACATAAATTCTTAGGCAGCATGTATTTCACTTGGCCCTTGTTAATGAAGTAAACCACATCACTATGAAAGGGATGTAAAAATAAATTTCGGTTTTGTTTAAAAAGAGAGTAACTATTTGATAAAGTATCTCTCATTATGTACTGTCTGTTTTGGGCCATGCCATGCGGCTTGCGGGATCTTGGTTTCCCCACTAGGGATTGAACCCCGGCCTCTGGCAGTGAAAGTGCCGAGTCCTAACCACTGGACTGCCAGGGAATTCCCTGTTTTTTCTTTTTTAAAAATAAGAAATGAAGGGTCCCTTCCCAGAGAACCAAATGTATTTGCATTTTTTAGTATGAACACCAACAGAGAGAGATTTTAAATCTATGAAATGTTTATGTCCATATTGTTAGGCACTATGGGCTTTTCAGAGGTCATAGAAAGTGTTTTTATTATCCTCTCCCTGGAAAATCTTTGATTTTTTCAGGGATGCAAGCCATATACTCACAGAATATTTAAACATTAATATGAAAGAAGCTTGTGATTATTTACTACTGATCGTGACATAAGGATGTAGGTCCTATGCATATTCTTAGGTAAGAGAGAGCCTTGGGTTTGTTGCAAAAAATAAACTGTATATTTACAGATTTTTGACTGTGGTAATGAGTTAGGAATATGGTGATGCATTAATTTTATTCTTTTCTATTTGGTGGAGAGTGTTGAGGCATATTTGTGTAATAATTATTATTTTCATTAACCTTGTGTTTTAAATTAGAGTTAGTTTAGTTTCTTTAATTCAAGGTCTCATATGGGTAACAACTACTTGATGATATTTCAGAAAACTCAAGAAGTCAACACTACCATAGTGGCTAGTTGGTAGTTAGCTGATTGAAAACTGCCCATAAACCTCCTTATGATTTTTTTACCTACTATAAGGCATGGTTACTCCACATGCCTTTCTGTTTTAACAAGAATATTATTCAATTACTTTATCAATTGGTTTTTAAAAAATATTGAAATATGCCATTACTTTCTTCAGTGGTTGGACTGATCCTTTGAATGGGTTTGCAAACTAAAATTTGGAAAATATTGCATTTAGATAAGTAAGCATCATTCCTTGAATATCTTATATTCTCTCTTTTGGCTTGATTTTTTTTTTATTTTCATAATTTTAGAGAACTTTTTAACATCTTCTAAGATAAGAATGGTTAAAGAAGGAGTACCCTTATGGCATGAAAAGGTTAACAATAGTTGCTAAGTGCATGACTTACTAGATAGACAGTAGGGAGACTCTGTTTTTTAAGAAGAAAGATAAAAATTAGTAGAGCCCAGTTTTCATGTACATTTTTTTGAAGGTAAAGTTTGTACTTTCTACTTTCTTTCATATTTTACTTATTGTGTAACACCTTACAGGCAAAGAAATTGAAAGAGACTGAAGATATACCAAGCGAACCATCTTTCCAGGATTTTGAGTACCCAGAGTATGATGACTACAGGGCAGAGGCTTTCCTGCACCAGCAGAAGAGGATGGAATGCTATAGCAAGGCAAAAGAAGCTTATCGGATGGGGAAGAAAAACGTTGCCACGTTTTATGCCCAACAAGTAAAGAGGAAAATTATTTTTTCTTTGTCACTTACAACGTCTGAATAATCTTGAAGCAGATAATACTCATACTGTGACTTGATTAAGTTATTCTGGGGAATGTACATTGTATAAGTGATATAAAGTATCCTAATATGTAAGAAATGTATGGTTCTGAGAATTCTTCCGACAGTCCATATTTTCTTTTAGGTTGGATTCTCTCATTCAGTACTGCTTCTAAACAGATACGAATTTTCTGGAGGAGAGGAAGCAGAATGTTAATATTGGCCATCCCAGGGTGGGATTACAGAGGTCTTGTGCTTTCTATCATGCTTGAATTTTAAGTTGTGTATCACTGTCATAGTCAGAAAAAGAAAGTTATATTAATATCTCTCAGGGAAGTAAAATTTCTGCCTGGTCTCATACAGCATGGTATTACAAGAAACCTGATTGATTTACTTTTTGTTTTCTGTGGTTCCATATCGCCTACTTTTTTATGATGGAGCAGAAAAAGGTATCAAACTGGTATAACCTTGTGAGCAATAATAGCAAACCTTGAGGAATGACTTCAGGGGTAACTGCAAGGTTTTAAAGGGTTGAGACTCAGGATTATCAAAAGATAAACCAGTGGCTTCCTTCTTGAGATGTGTGTTGTTTATTTAAGTGTCCCTTTCCTATGATTTTTGGATCAGAGAATGTGTTTGAAATGATGATTTAGTAGTTTAAGAACTATGTTATTTGTCCACTGAAATTCACCTAAATTTTGGTGCATTCTTGCATATTAGCCCATTGCGTTATTTAAAATTTTACATTTGTTGTTGCCTTTTTTGTTCTTCCTTTTATTTGGGGCACTATTTGTTTCCTCATTGCTTACTAAGTAGCAGATATCAAAAGTGATTACTGATGATATGTTTATAATTAAAGGGTAGTCTCCATGAGCAGAAGATGAAAGAAGCCAATCACCTTGCTGCTGTGGAGATCTTTGAGAAGGTCAATGCCTCCCTGCTGCCACAGAATGTTTTAGACCTCCATGGGCTGCATGTGGATGAGGCTATAGAACATTTGATGACAGTTTTACAGCAGAAAACTGAAGGTAGGACTATAGTCATGACAGATTTTCACAAATTCAAGGGAGTCTGAATGTGCAGGCTGAGGATATCTGTGCCACATTTATAGATGTTTGTATTAGATTCATTCTTCAAGAAAACCTTGGGAAAGAATTCTAACTGCCATGTCCATTAACATTTTTATTTTCCTGTTTCAGTTATGTTTGTATTCCTTTGTTATAATTGTCAAAGGGAGGGCATGATGTAATCTGAGGATCCTCTGGACCATTCAGGAATATAATACATCTTTGTTCAGTAGACATTTATTAAAGCTAATAGATACTTATTAGATGTCAGTTGCTCAATAGATGTTTAATAAAATGCAGAAGTAGGGCTTCCCTGGTGGCGCAGTGGTTGGGGGTCCACCTGCCAATGCAGGGGACACGGGTTCGTGCCCCGGTCCGGGAGGATCCCGCATGCCGCGGAGCGGCTGGGCCCGTGAGCCATGGCCGCTAAGCCTGCGCATCCGGAGCCTGTGCTCCACAACGGGAGAGGCCACAACAGTGAGAGGCCCGCGTACTGCAAAAAAAAATAAATAAATAAAATGAAATAAAAAATGCAGAAGTAAATTAGGTGATAGGATTTTTATAGAATTATCATAAAGGCAGGATTTCTGAGTGTTTGCATTATGGTAGTTTGCCCTTCTCCCTTTCTGCTTGTATTTTGTCTTTGCGGGTCAGTAGGAATGCTACTGCCTGCCTCTTACAATCAATATCATGTGCTTTATACATGTTGAAGTATCTTGTTGGTTTATCATCTTGTTTCCTTTTCATCACCAGATGGTAGCACTTGGGAAAATTCAATCTGTTGTAGTACCCCAGACTCTAATACTAGGGAGTCATCTCCTCTTAGCACTACTAGGATATTTTTGAATTCTCAACTTGGCTTTCTCTTTGTCTTACATTTTATTGTGGAGACATGGAATCCATGCCTCAGTTATTACCCTGTGGTTCAATAATACTGCTGTGTCATTGATAGCTGTATTGTTCTGGTTAATTAATTTGTATATATTTTAGAAAGTTTTATACTATATGTTATATAGGTTTATCAGTTCAGCACATATAGGTTTTACAATTCAGTTGTAATTAAATGCTTGATTAAATATAATTGATATAAAAAGTTTATCATGAAAACCACATTGGAAAAGTTGCGAGTAAAATAACGAACACCTGTGTACCCATGAATGTAAGTAACAAGTGATAACATTTTACTGTATGTGCTTCATATATATATATATTTTGTTGTTGTTGTTCCTACCTTTGCATTATCCCCAATCCTTTTTCTTCTCTCCCCTTCTGATGGAAATCAACATCCTTCAGTTTGGTCTGCATCATCCTGGACAGTTTTGAAAATACCTTTACTACGTGTATTGTACATTCATCCATAATTGGTCTATAGTATCCTTTGTGTGAGTTTTAAAAAGTGAACATACATGGTGTCACACTATACCGTCAGCCAAGCCATTTACTTTATTTTTACCCAATACAGTTTTCAAGATCTACTCATCTCGACAGATTGAGTTTTTTTTTTTATTATAACTGCTGTGTAGTATTATGTGACCTTATCATGATGTATCCATCCCTCTATTGATGGATGTTTAATTATAATGTTGCAGTGAGCTTTATTTTGCATATCAACATGTGTCCTCTTATCATTATCCTTTTTCCTAGCTTTTTATATTGAAAAATTAAAAACCTGCAGAGAAGTTGAAAGAATTGTACAATATACATATTGTACAAATTTTGTACAATATATGAATTGTACATATATCCTTTACCTAGATTGATCAGTCGTCAACATTTGGCCACATTTGTTTATTATCTCTCTAGAATTTTTTTCTGCTGAA